CATGTCTGTTAAATCAGATGATACATATGAAGGTGCTGTGGTAGGTTTGACTTACGGTGGATGGGATGTGCCCGATGTCTCGATGCCTCCTGGATCACTGGCAGAGGAACAGGCTCGTCCTCCCTCTCGGTTTATCTAGCTCGATTCTTTGTTGTTATTCAGCAATCCTGCGACGAATGCCTTGGCTTCTAACATTTTCATGTTCATTTGGACTTGATAATCTACAATCGCTGATGCTTTGCCGTATCTCGACGTCGTTAGAAGATGGCTCCCGCGTGTTGTTGGTCGTCTCAGAAGTTTGGAGTGCGATGTAGGTCATGTTTTCATCCATTTCATGCTTACTTCATTTGTTTCGTTCTTAGATTCCAATAACAATGTCATCTCAACAGACCCAGTATCGTTCACCTTGGACATATAACCAAGCTGCACAGTGTAAAGCCGATTATGATCATTAGCAATGACTTGCAGGTCCTCGTCTCCTGGATCCGGTCGTTCTTTGAATCATGGTGACAATGGCAGATCGGCACCCACCGCAATGTCTAATCATTCAGCTATACTGCATCAACCAAGGGCCCTGGAGACTCCTTAGTTGGACCGGTGGCTGCCTTCGATGTGGTCTTGCAGAAGCTATAATCTGCTTCGCTTGAAAGGGTGAATGTCTTCTGTCACGGAGCTATTTGATAAGTTTCCAGGAATCGGACTTTCGATTGTTCCTCAGCTGACTTGCAGCTGCATATTTATACATTCCTGGGCTCATGCAGGCAGAAAGGTGGTATGTATCTTGTTGCCCGCTAAACAGCGATACTATACAGCAGCGAAGTCTCCTAGACATCGGTGCATTTGTCAGTGCAGTTTAGCTGACATCCATATCGAATGCTTGTCAAATGTATAGTAAGTAATTGTGGTGACCTTGTGGTCGCAAATCGAGATGCAGATTCTTTGAGCAGCTGGCTGATAGAAAAATATGCAGAAAACTCGATCGCGACGCAAGGCTTAATGGCCTGTGACGTGACACAACGTGTAGTTCTATATGCACTCATCTTGCATCTGCTCTCTACACTAGTCTAGGTACACGGATGAGCACCAGTATGCGAGGTACGACCATGTTTAGACTGTTTGGACAGCCTGATTTTATTCGGAAAGTAAATTGCTCAGCGACTCTCTTGCCTTGTGCTCACTGGCAGGCAACTGGCAGGCGTATCATTGAGCTCACCGGCTACTTTTTATTTAAATCGTATTGTATGATAATTTTTCTACTCGCCGTCCGCAACTAACTCTCTTTTTGAGGAATAATTGGTGGCGCTTGGTGGGGACGGCGACTCAGGCTTTCGCCGAACTAGGCTATCTGGTTGCCTGTCGATACCCGAATGTTTTTTCTGCTCCCGTTTCAGGTTAATCGCTTGAGATAATTCAATATCCTGTTCACGAGATGTACAGGCTGAACACGTTATTTCGGGATATTTCAAGAATATTGGGCGACGGTGAGTGCTTGCTATCCGTTTCAGAGTCTTTATTCTTGATTCTTTAGGTCTCTTATGCGTCGCGGGTCATACACTGCTTGAGAATATTAGAGATCATTCGCGGCTGTCTATGGAGTTCAGAGTTACTTATGTGGCGTTGTGGTGGGAAACGAAATGGTGATACGCCTGGAGATCTTCTGAAGTTGAAAGTGTGGATATAATCTAAGCTTTTGGGGATCTTTACAATGTGGAATCCTTGATGCACTTTGTCGTTTGCGCCGCATTCCCTCGAGGCTCTGAGCCTCGAGTCCATGATACTTACTATTTCTGTAACCTGAGACCTTCTTTTAACTTGAGACTTTCTCTTGTCAGTCGTGGTAAATATTGTTCAATGACTTGAAATAACTGGCCTAAATTGGGCCTGAACCATATTCCCACTGTCAGTGTCCTTCCCCCACTCCTCCTTGCTGATCATGAGGATCTCATCTAGATCTAGCCCATATAAAGTTGCCGCTCTATCATCAAGTGATTTTTGATTGGGTATGCATTGCCTTTCTGTGTTAGCTTCTCCTCCACTCTGCTCGTCGAACTCGTTCGAATCCGACTCGCTCTTACTTCAAGCCACTAGTACAGCCTTGAACCCTTTTGCAATTCTATCTCATGGGTGTATTGGTATAAATCTCGCCTCAGGTTTGCTTACCGCAATTATGGAACCTGGGAATAGAATCATTTTTGCCTCGGAATGATCTTTGATGGAAAAATTGGATGTATACAATGTCCCTATCTCTCTACGGACCAGCTGCCCTCTTTCCTCGTAACTTCCTCGTACGGAACCCGTGTTTGGCCTCCTCCGCCTTGGACATTCGCTGGACCAACTGGCTGTGGAGGCTGTAATATGCTTCCATACGCTCTTAAGATAGTCTGGTTTTCACTATCCCTCTCTGGTAGTTCCGCGCTTTGAACAAGTTTCGACCCCCCCATTTAATATTTTATAGGATTAATCTCATGCTGGGCTGTTTTGAGTGCATTCGCTCTGGCCGTACCATGCTCCTACTGGTTGGCGATTTTGTATTGTGTCGGATGTACGATTTTGCAGGGGATATTCTGTCTTGGTGCGTAGTTTTGCTGCTTGTATTTCTTATGATCTCATGGTGCTATCCAGGTCTTATCTGGAGGATGGATCCCTTCCTCATGCCTCGTTCTTTCTGCATAGGTAACCTGCCTCTTTCCACAATTTCTTCCTGTTTAAATCGTTCGAATTATCCAGCACAAACCCTCCTCACCGGATTCAGTACCTTCTTGCTTACCGGTGTTTGCGCGACATTTTCAATGGTGACGAGTCTGACAATGTTGAGGCCAGGAATTTGGAATTTATCTACCTCAAAGTAAGCATTCGAGAGCTCGCAGAATCAAAGCCTAAATTCACTATGGTGCAGAACCTTGGCCTGGCATCCGAGTTACACCCTTACCCTTGTTATCTTCCCGATTCTAGCTTCCGCGGCTCAGATAACTGCCGTCTTTAAGCTGGACGCGGTTCAACCTACCGACAACTTCTCGTGTGACGCGAGTAAACCCATCTGGTGAGTGCATCCCATCTGTCCGCCACAGTGGGTGTGCCGTGGTCGTCGTCAAAGTAACACTTTTTGTAGGGTGCGCTTTCTTGGATATGCCGGCACTCCTCTCATATTTTCTATACCGTTCTCTTGTTTCGCACTGATGGCAGTTATCCGGGTGTTTCGCAATAACACTCCGGATCCTGACTGTAATTCTACCAACCTCACCTCACTACCACCCAAGCGCATCCGAATGGGCACCCGTCGCAAAGACATGGGCACCTGGCTTGGATCTGAACCTGGTATACGGAATTCTCCAATCCCAATACCCACTCCTCGTGCTCTCCCATCACCCTCTCCCTCCGTCGCATACGCATACTACCCCGCCTCGCCGGGAAGAGCACCCATAAGCCCGAACTCTCCAGTCCTATCCTTTCTGCCCGTCGATTCCATCTTCCCTTCAGCCCCACTCGCGCCACTGATGAGACTCGTAGTCGAAGTCAACGTGAACATGATCCACTAAGCTCGTCTCATTCATCGACCCTCGAAAATCATCGACACCACTGGGAGTCGGAGGGAGCTGAAGATGCGGAAGCGGACGAAGCTTCTTTCGTATCTTCTGCATTCCCTACTTTTGCACCGCCTAGTAATTCCAGTACACCACCTAATCCACGAGAATCGCCCGGATATGATTTCACTGGTTCTTTAAACGGGTCGAGTGCGGATTATCATTATTATCAGTACAAGCATCATCATCAAAATCTTCAGAATCAGTATCCTGTCCAGGCGAAAGTTAAGACGACATATTCCCCTACGACGGGATGGCAATCGTGGCCTGCTGGTGATCATCATGGTGATGAGGGCGAGGACGATGCGATCTCGTGGTCGCACATCGGTGTCGATGTTGGTAGTGGTGAACCTAAACCACCGAAAACCGAAACCGAAGGACATGATATTGATTCAACTTTGGCACATGATAATAACATTGATGATTCTGAAGTGGAGTACGCGCGGACGCTGCATGAGAAGGGCGCTCATGAATTCGGAGAGATTCTCGAGCACCAGATCCGGACTGGAGCAGGAGATGGGTCGGATTTCCAGTATATTACTAGGAAGAATTTGCGTGCCAATGCGAATGTGAATTCGATGGTGATATCTGTCCCGGTGGTGGCTTCATCTTCACCGTTTGATACTGCGAGTGAGTTTTGGGTTTATCATTATTCATTTCGTTCATTTCTATTTGGCCTCCGTCGCTGACGCTGAATCCCTTCTTCGTGCAGACCATAGAATGGGAGTCGGAAGACCATACTCAACTTCTCCATTCGCAGCGACACCGATACAAGTACATATGAATACAAACAGTGCGAGCAGTACCATACGGTCTGCCATATGGCGTATCATTATATTTCAACTGTATGTTGTCCCTATGTGGATGCGAGTTATAATGCCAACTAATCAACGTCTTTTTTGTTTTCGGAATAGCTCATTCACTCTGATCTTGGTTTTGGCTTCTATATCTACACTAATCGATGTTATTGCGCATCACACACAACCTACACCGTTTGGAACACAACATGTAGCGTTACTATTGGCTGCTTGGGGACCTGTCATTGTTTTTGGTGAGTGTTTTGCTCGCTTCCCGATTTCAATTCATTTTGTGTGGCTCTCACCGTTTCCACTCTGGTTCTATCTTTCTATCTTCCTTGTATTCCTGGATATTTACGCTTCGAATCTGGTTTCACAGGACCTATACCCTCTACCCGGCGAAATCTTATGTTTTGGAAGCGACCGACCGTGGATTCGAATTTATAGCATTTTGAGTATAGCAGAATTTGGGATTTGAGCCTTACTTGTAGTTGTACTTATCGATATATCTTACCTCCTTTGCTACTTTACCCACTTTCCTGTTTATAACCTGGATTCACGAAGACTTCATTGACGATTATGGCAGAAGTCAACATGATTCTTCAAGTTGTTGATTTGTTATGGCTACCTGGCGCAATGGTAGCGCGTTTGGCTTCGATTGCTGAATGTAAACACCAGATCAGCTACCATACCAAAAGGTTGCAGGTTCGAGTCCTGCGGTGGTCATAAGCGTTCTGTTCAAATCCTTTTTTCAATTCATCAATACACGATTAAGTGACATTGATACAATATACAGTACAGAATCGCGGAATAAGTTAACTTATTTCCGTGAGAGTTATTTTATCTATGATCATGATAAGATAACCACGTGTCATGTCAGATTTTACGCCGTTCTCTTTACTCGTTACCTCGATCTCAGACCATCCAGTATCATTAGTGCTACTACCATCGTACCACTCTGTATAAATCAATATCCAGGATCTTCCTTTTAGATCATGCTCGCCACTATGCCTCCTACCAACTTCGCTTCTACATCGACGGGTGTGTCAAATCCGGGTCCATCTACAGCGGACAAGTATCGTGGGGCAGTTGTTGAAGTGAGAAGATGTTTTCGCTGCAACTGTATTCAATCTCTCACTCAATACTAGGATCTCCAACTCCCTCCTGCATTTGCGCTTCCATTCACGGAACCGGTGTCGAGGGTTATCGAGCTGGCGTATGAGAGGGACTTTTCACATATTCCGTGCGTGTCAATTCCATCCATCGATGATAATTATTGTATGCTGAAACCGCATTCAGAGTTCTGGATAAAAACCGACGTCCATTAGGATATGTCGAAGTGTCCAAGTTGAAGCAGTTGTGGGAGGAGGGAAAGGCGGATCCGGTAAGTTTTAGTTTTAGTTTACCTGGTTTAGTTTACTCGTGGATGGTTTCGATCTCGTTTTGCTAATGCTTGTCCATGATTTTTCCCCGCGTCCTGCTGTTTACTCGCTATGCCTGCTTTTGCCTACCCCTCCAGAACGAAAAAGTCTCGACATACATGATCCGATTCAAAAGATCAAGTTCGGAACCCTACACCCTTGTTACACCGCTGACAAGCTTGGATGAGCTGGAGGGGTTTCTAAGAGAGAATATTTTCGCTCTGGGTGTGTCCTTGATCTATCCCCTCCATCGCGTTCGGTGCTAAACTGTCTGCTACAGTAACTGATTCGCAACGAAAATTCGTTCTTGCAGTAGCTACGGCGCAGGATTTACAGCAGTTTGTTACGAGGAGAGGGTTTTGAGGGGCTGACAGTTTTGATTGATGGAGGATAGAACGTGTGTACTCGGATTTCTCGAGCCTAGTACTTAGCGTGATGTTATAGACTATATAGTCTGATACTTTGCCTATAATGGATATTGACGACTTGCCACAAGGACTCAGGACTCCAAGTCGGATCGCCAATGAGCCGTCTATCATAGTGTTCGTAGCAAAAACTCAGGCTAGGCATTCGTTCCTGTGCCGCGTAAAGACAGAAATTGGATTCCGATGATTCTCCACATCTCCATCTCAAGACTGAATAAACGGTACATAGGTGATTTCATTTGATTCCAAATCAAGACGGTCAAAGCTGGTTCTCACAAGGACTTATTTCATTTTAAAAAAAGTAAATTTGGAACCTTTTTCACTGCAAACTCGAACATCTGATGATAGCATGGCTTTCCTAGTTTTCTCAAGCGCTCCAAGCCTGAGACACAAGAGAATTTGGGAACACTACAGTGTGAATGACAGAAGGAGAACTTTGTGATCGCGTTAAAGCGACATCACCTCCGAGTTCCACTCCACATCCAAGAAATGAACTGGAGAATGAGGAGGTGGCACGAATGATGGGATAAGACTCTTCGGAGGAGGATTTACTTTGAAGGAATTCCGCTCGCCGCATTATACTCGCATCGTAACATTCGCGCATAAGAGTCTCCACCGTATGTATGTTCGAATCCAGATCATAAGCATAGACAATGAGGGTATGTTTGTTGCGCATGTCAAGCACGTTCTCGAGTGACTGGGTTGAGGTTAATCGACTAGAAGGCGAAGAAGGTATTGCCACCGAAATCGTAGATGTGGTACGGAGCAAATCCCGTGCCATGGTTCCATGCTGAGATCGTTTGCTTTGAATGAAACTCAATGGAGAAACTTGTTTAACTAGGCCTTTCGGCTGTTTACAATGACGACAATGCCATTCAGCGAAAAATTAGCGGCTGTAAGGAAAGAAGACCTATGTTACTAACGAGGTTCCGAATCGAAATATGAGTAATCCGACTCAACTCTTGGCAATCAAGAGAATGACTGTTCACAAAACGGAGCGTCATTAGAATTTGATTTTCAAAGAATAGCTCCGCGAGAAGTCCGGCGTGATATTTTTTACGTTTGGAAGGACTGTCAATGTTAGCAGACAACAGGGTTATCAAACAGATAACCCGACCAGGATGGAAATCAAAACAAGGCTTACCAACTTTTCTTTATACGCTGACAAAAACGAGCCTGGCAAAAACCCTGGCCCGCGAACATTCGATATATAAAAGCTACATAGAACAGCTTTCACATCACATTCACCTGAGTCTTTGATAATTGATTCCCATTCATGCTCACTTTGTACGACTTTAACTCGACCAAAGGTGTGAATTGGCACCCGCATGTGGGGAAAGTCAGGTTAGTTCAACCCTCTTGTTTGTTACCCTCTTACTTGTTTCCGCAACGAGTGCTAATCGGACTTGGGCAACAGATACTGCCTTAACTACAAGGGTCTTGAGTTCAAAACCATCTGGCTCGAATACCCTGAAATCGAAGGGATAGCCAAAAAGCTCGGCGTGGGACCTACCCGCACGTTCAACGGCGAGCCCCAGTACACGCTCCCTATGATTGTTGACGATTCCACCGGCGTTGCCCTAGCCGAGTCCGTTGACATTGTCGAATATCTTGATAAAACCTACCCCGACACCCCCCGTCTCATCCCGGAAGGCAGCCACGCTCTTCAAGCGGCTTTCAGAGACGCATTCTACCCCAAGCTCAGCGCATATACCCCCTTTCTCATACCTAGCACGGCTATGATGCTTAATCCTGCAAGTGACGAGTACATCCGGACCAAGTTGGAGACAATGCTTGGAATGAAACTAGAGGATTACTACCCCAAGGACGAGGCGCGGGTGGCTGCGTGGAACAAGTGGAAGGCGGAGGTTGAGACTTTTGCTGCATGGTTCAGGAAGGAGGATGTTTGGGTTATGGGAGACACGCCTTCGTTTGCGGATTTCATCCTCGCCGCGTTCATCCTTTCGGCTAAGACGGTGTTCGGAGCTGATAGTATGGAGTACAAGGAGATTCTTGAGATCAATGATGGACGATGGGGTCGTCTAGCAAAAAATGTCGAAAAGTATGACCCAAATATTCACACCAAGTAATGAGTTAATCACTGTCTTACTAAATTAGCTACATAGAATTTTGTAAACGCTGAAAAGTTGTCACCTTCCCAATATCAAGTTGTGAAATTGCAAGTACTTGGAGAGCTGAATTCCAGCCGAATGAGTATTTTGTTATTGTAACGCTTGGCCTTGTCTTTCGGAGCAGAACGATGATGGAACGGATGCAGGAATATTTCTGAGTTTCAAAGATCGGCTAAGCTCAGATCTCACCTTTTCGACGATTACTGTCTCGGCTATTTCTGCTGCCGGAACTCCAAAATGGTCTTTTCGTGCTCCATAACGAACCACCGTTAGAAATACACGAGCCACTGTGGTAAGCATCGGTATCAACTTTGGTCTTGTATCAATCAACACACTGACGAGATCAGTCTGGATGCGTATCGTGCAAGGATAGTTTCTGTCAGGAGCATGGATGATAATCCTTATTCCGTGTCGAGTTTGATCAAGAGCATGAACTTGGGATGGTGTTTTCCTGAAAGCAACTAAGCAAGATTCCGAGGAGTTTGAGGAATGATATAAAATATTGTTCTTGCAGACCTGGAGATGTAGCAGTTTCGTGATTTGTCATTGGATGCTTTGAAATTTGCATCGTCGCAGTACAGAGTTTCGTCTGGCATGACAGAACATGAAGAGCTTGAGCCAAGATGCGTCACCGGCGTCAGATTTGTGTAATTAAGCGCCGTCTCGGATTCCCGAGATGTCAAAGCTGTGATTATACGACCCGAAAAGTATAAATCTGCGCACAACGCTTTGATATCGCACTGGGCCAGATGATTTAACTTGGTGACTAATCTCAGACGAGTTTCAACTTTATCTACCCAGCTCCTGTGGCAGATGGTCCTGCTACCACGAAATATTATAGAGACTGTGACCTAGTCTTGAGTCCTATTTTGTCCTCTGAAATAGTGAGAATTTGGTGGATTGTGTTGGCAGCTTGTTTATTTTTCGATTCCCTGAAGGCAGAGCTTCTGGCGATTATAAATTTTGTGCTGTTCAAAAAATATCAGTAATGTTATACTCGGCCTGGTATATTTCTCGAACCCGCTTATATGCAACATTGATATCCTACATCTTAGTGAGTTTCTATAGCTCCTAAACGAATTTAGGAAAAGCAACCTTTCCTGAGGTGCAAACAACTTGAATGTAGCATAAAAAGCACCTCAGCCGTGTAAGTATCAAGTAATTGTATCATTGCACTCTATCGATTCATCTGACTACGCAAAAAAAGATTGAAATAGATCATCAACAACAAGCTTGCTTGCTATGTCGTTGCATGTAGTAAACGACGTGAGCTCATGAATCGTCAAGACTGTATAAAGTTTCCATTTGTAAATCATCGGAGATATTCAGTATATTAGTCATTGTTTTTCTTGCGCTGCCAGTTCGCGAGCGTCTGCTTCGGTTCTCCATTGAGCACCCTTGTACATAACCGCAACAATGAGCAAAACTAGCCAGTGCAATGATAACAGCCATGATGGTATACATCCAACCTAGTGCGAGATTGGCATCATAAACCAGGCAGAAGTATTACAAGCGAGGAAAAGACTCACCGTCCCCCAAAGCGTCCTATGAAAGTATAGCACAATTAATTAAAAAAAACGCATCCATATAATGTTCACTTACCTGCATGGGAACTGCGATTTCTTCAAATGCAAATGCGAGTGTGCATCTAACGAAACTGTTTAAAGCAATAGCAGACCCCGATCGTCCGACATTTGAATCTATAATGTATGCCAAGCTGCTTGCATACACGACACTAAATGTGAGAT